CCACATTAGTAGGAATTAAGTAGGTACAAAGTAATAGTTTAAGAAATGATAGTCTTTTGTATGGCAATATAAAAGCAAAATATCTTTTAGAAGGAACAATTCAAATTAATTGATTAATTTGTAAAGTCTGTTACTCTCTTTTGGCCAAATACTTGTGTATCTCTGAGAATATAAATGAGGTAAAGAGGTAATTAAGACATTTATTTAATATTTGTGTGACAACTGTGGAAGATATGTAATTGTTATTTTCCTATTGATCATAAAATAAGAGAGATTTGAAAACATTTTGATTAGAATCACTTAGACTTTTCTGTCCCTCTATGAAGTGTACCAGATTGAGGCATTTTCCTAGTAAATACATGAAGTCTTATTTAATTAATTATTATGCTTGAAGACAATACTAAAACTGTTTCTCATGGTGTTTCTGGCCTTCAGTAATTTAAGGTTTTTATTTTGATTATGTGGTTTTTGTTTTCAGAGACTGTATTTAGCATCTAGAAGCATATCAAGCTCATCACAAAAATGTATACAAAACAGCAGCTTAATTTGAGATTCAATATTGGCCCCTTTACCTAAAGCACCTGATTTTTGAGTACCAGTTGTGACCATCTATTGACACATGCCAGGAGTATATGCTAGTTTTTGTAACGAGAGGATAAATAAAAGGGCTCTTAGAATTATTAGACAATATTTGCTTTTTGACTTTTTCCAGAGAAAAATGAAGACAAGACTTTGTTCTATTTCATCAAGTCCTTGACGCCTCCTCCCAGCTGGTCAGGTTCTTTTTATGTGGCATTTAAACCTTGAGTTGTTGTGAGTCAACAAATGGACAACAGCAAATGTTCAGCCATCTTATTGGTGTTAAGCCTAGCAAATAGGCAAAGTATATGAATACACCAAATGCATAAACAAGTTTTCCTGAGCCAAGGATTCCAAATAAGCCCAGCAGCTGCCAGTTACGTCCTTAAGAATAGAAGTGCCCCTCCTCATCCTCTAATCTGTTATTGCCCCAGGTTGGGAAATGTCAGCTGTAAGATTTATAGATTTAGGGCTCTGGTATAACAAGTTGCCTCTTAGAACTTTTCAGCTCTGAGAGCTTCTTCTTAGCCAGCTAAACAGAGATATAGAAACATATTTTTGGTTTCCATATATAGTTCTTGAGTCATTTACAACATCAATGGTGGGCTTAAATATATATATATACACACACACACACACACATTATAACATAAATTACACATACATACACATTATAACATAAATTACACATACACACACACACATCTCTATCTGTATCTCCCTAAGACATTGATACAAATACTCATCAGTAAACCATGATAATTTTCAGAAGAGGCTGCCTTTGACTGGTAAACTCATATTGGTACCTGGAACACAAAACTCCTAGAGGTACACTAGTTTTATAGTCTGAGCTTATTAAGCAATACCCTTAGGGTAATGAAAATCAGTTCCTCCTCTGCTCCCTAATAACATCAGTCCTTTTTGTATCTGTACGATTTTTCTCTTATTGTTCTCCTCCAAATTTCCCCCTTAAAATTGTGGCATTGGAAATAATGGTTTTATGTTTTGGGGGACTGTTACTTTCTAATTGAAATTGAATATCTATGGGTCACTATTCAGTGCTGAACTTGATATGAGAAACATTTCCTGGTAAATCAATAAAACCAGCTTTATGTTTCCCTACAGATAATCAAGTGGCAGGTAGAAGGGACATCTGACCTAGTTGCTCCTCTAACTGCTTTTGATCAAAAGAAATTGGTAAACCACTCAGTCTATAAATCTTTTTTTCTGTGATTCTGTAGTGTCAGGACAGCATTTCCATGGGTACTTTACTTATACGGAGAAAAAAACCTAAATCTCGAACCGCCATTTATAAAACCCACAAACTCCTGGGCTGTAATTTGGGTTGCAGACTTGAAGCTCCCTTTCTGGTTGTGTTTTCTGGAGTGGGTGAATGCCTGTCTGATGGGGATGCATTTTAAAGGCAAGACAGATTTAAGGGTATAATTTAGTGACATTTTGCTGACTGCATTTCTCTCTATATGCATGTCTCTTCATATATTTCACTATCTTACCAATACTCAGTTACCTCAGCCTACTTGAGGCAGGCTCCACAATTTTGGGACTGTTTCTTATATACATAATGACTCAATAAAGGTGTCTCATTACAACATTAGTCATTCTGTTAACTTGTGCTATTTTTTGACTGTGTATATAAATCGGTGTATATTTAACAAGTGAGCTGACCAAATGCCATTAAATGAGTTGTCCTTATTTTGGTTTTTTTCCTGCTCCAATTTTAAGTTTTCAAAGAAATCCAGCATGTAACTACCACTTTTAAGTCTCCACTTTTTAATTTTGAATACCAAATATGGCAGAGTTATTCAGGTGGCCAAGTAGACTTTTTCTGACCTTGAATGTGGTTTACTGGTATTACACTTAAAAAAAAAAAAAAAAAGACAAAAAGTGGATGTCAGTATTTGCTGTTTTAGGATAGCATAAGACTTTTAGATTTCCCAAAGATCATTTTAAAAGTCTGATATGAAGCTGTCTGACATCTACATTTTTAGCATCGTCCCCGTATTCGTATTTAAGGCGTCATCCCCGTATTCGTATTTAAGGCGTCATCCCCATATTCGTATTTAAGTGACCCTGGAACACAATGCAGAGAGATAGGTCACTGTGGTTTAATCTTTGGACACTTCATATCTGACAGACACCAGCCTCTGTGGTTTATTTTATATTGTTCCTTAAAACTAGAAATAAAATTCTCTTAAACCTGATGATAGGGGAATGTTTACTAAGATAGTTTTCCTTCCATTTGCACAGTTTTAAAGCTGGAGCTAAAACATAACACATGGGATTAAAAAAAAAAAATCTGTCATCCAAAAAGTAATTCATGGCACTGTTAAGGTTGAAGTAACCTCAGGGCCTCATGTTCTGTGGTGGAATGTGCATCAAGGTGTATTCCTTTTATTAGGAACATATTATATCCATGTACTTTAATATGAATGGCAGATATCAATTAGCAGAGGCTTATTGGGGAAAAAGAATAATTTTTGTGTGTGCCTGTACATTTAGGCGAAGGCATTATGAGTTGTAGGTTTCCACAGCACAACCCAAAATTCAAAGGAGATGCCTTTTAAAAAATATAGTGGTGATGGAGTCTGGGTAAGAAAATCCTGTGTTGAAAGTTGAGCAGACCACAGTCATTTATATGCAGTCAAAGAGCTTTTGGTACTGCAATGTAGGGCATATAATCTTATTACAAAGCCCTTTAAAATCAATTAAAAAAAAAATGAAAACATCCTTAAAAATGTGGTAGCATTGAGTTCATTTTCTTTTTTTTTAAATCTATTTTCAATTACATTATTCCATTTACATGTACCACAATGGCTTTTATTTAAAAGATACTTCTCTTCTATGTATATATTCACAGCTGTCAGAAATATGTGTCATTCTTTGTCTTACAAATCCCTGTTCTCAGCCATTTCAGAGCCTAATCCTTGAGTCGGCCATTTTGCTGAAAGGCAGTTAAAGAAACAGACTGTCAGCCAGGTCTGGTTCTTGCTGAAGAAGCGTCATTTCTGTACCCAATGTGAGCTTTAGTTCCAGATTTTTGAATGATGTAAAAATTAAGGTCAGGGAATCAAATATAAAAAATACATCTTGCAGGCAGAGACCTCATTAGCATCCACTCATCAGTCTCCCAAATCTAGGAGCTGGGAGACCATCGTACTGTTATCCTGCTGATATTGAGTTGATAGCAAGTTTAATGGAACAGGCTGGCAGTTGTGAAGGGCAGCTGATAATGATGGTGCAAGCTCAACGAAAAAGTTGAGTAAAATCTGCAGGAGGTGTTTTCTATCATTTGGCCTTGTTCTGTTGGCTGTTGGCATTTGCTTGGCAAGAGGGAGGTGTTCTTATCTCCCCAGCTAGAGAGATTTTAAATATGCTTAAAAATACCGAGTGTGGGCTTCTGTTACTGCCTCTTCTTAACAAGACCAGTGGCAGCAGGGCAATTGTGTATTGAATAGGAAAATCCACTCAAACTGATAACATTCAGGTAAACCTGAAAACAGTTTGCATTTTCTGGTAATTAAATTAAAAGAAGGCGTTTGACTATCAGAAGCCCTTTTTCCTCATGTAGTAAATGAGCACATAATCTTACAAAATGAGGTAACCTCAAATATGTTTTTCTTTTTTCTTTCTTTTTTTTTTTTTTTTTTGAGGCGGAGTCTCGCTCTGTCGCCCAGGCTGGAGTGCAGTGGCCGGATCTCGGCTCACTGCAAGCTCCGCCTCCCGGGTTTACGCCATTCTCCTGCCTCAGCCTCCTGAGTAGCTGGGACTACAGGCGCCCGCCACCTCGCCCGGCTAGTTTTTTGTATTTTTTTAGTAGAGACGGGGTTTCACTGTGTTAGCCAGGATGGTCTCGATCTCCTGACCTCGTGATCCGCCCGTCTCGGCCTCCCAAAGTGCTGGGATTACAGGCTTGAGCCACCGCGCCCGGCCTCAAATATGTTTTTCTTCCGGATTAATAATATGTTTTGATTTTTAAACTTCTATGTAAAGTTTGATGAGTGCTTTTATATAATTAGGTAGCATCTTAAAACATATGATTGGCCATGTTTCTGCCTTGCAGAGTTTATGAGAGCAAAGTTGGCCAAACAACAGGGCTAATTTTACTAATTAAAGTCGTGCTGCCCAAGTGGGTTAACATGATATAGATGTTTGGTTTTAATAGAGCTTGGAAAGGGTACTGAGTCCTAAAATGTTCTGTTTGGAAAGCTTTGGTCTATAAAATTTGCCTTTAACACGGCTGATGACCCTTAATTAGAATGATAAACTGTACTTGCTGGTGTGATGTCTTTTTGAGAAGAAGCAATACCGGTGTGCCTAAGTGTCGTTGTTTTTAGTGTATTAAGATACCTTTTTTCTGGGCATGGCATTTCTGAGTACCTGTCTTCTCTGCTCTGTTTCAGGTGTGAATCATGGCAATACAGTGAAAGACGGTGATTTACTGCTTTTGAGGGCATGCATGGATATGATTAACGGATGGAAGTGCAGGACTCCAAGATTTACTTCTTTCCCTTTCCAGCAGAGTTACCTGAGAGGAGTGAGTAATGGGATAATTTGTAATACCACAGGCCCCTTTTCAGGAGACCAGTAATCAAAACAGGAAGATGAAATTGACAAGATTTCAACTGGAAGAATACAACTTTTGATACTTTCTGGGTATACCTCTTAATTGCAAGCAGGAGAGTCTTCAGAGTTGTCCTGTTTTTGTTTTTTTTTTCCCATGGAGATTTCCTCCCTCCCTCCCTCCCTCCCTCCCTCCCTCCCTCTCTTTCGTTTTTTTTGTTTGAGACGGAGTTTCGCTGTTGTTACCCGGGCTGGAGTGCAGTGGCACGATCTCGGCTCACGGCAACCTCTGCCACCCCACCCCCCAGGTTCAACCGATTCTCCTGCCTCAGCTTCCCAAGTAGCTGGATTATAGGCGCCCGCCACCATGCCTGGCTAATTTTTGTATTTTTAGTAGAGATGGGGTTTTACTATGTTGGCCAGGCTGGTCTCGAACTCCTGACTTCAGGTGATCCACCCACCTCAGCCTCCCAAAGTGCTGGGATTACAGGAGTGAGACACCATGGCTGGCAAATGTGAGCCACCACACCCAGTGGAGATTGTCATTAAAAATGTTAGTATGTCAGTCCTGGTTACATCATGCAGACACCCTGCTAAATTTTATACATCTTTCCTCCATGCTTTCTGCTGTTGATATTCTTATATTGAGACATCAGAGATACTTAGTGGCCTATTTGTAGAACTCAGTTTCTTTTTACAAAGTTAAAGAATTATCAAGAATTGGGAGTGGGCTGGGGGCAGTGGCTCAATGCCTAGAATCCCAGCACTTTGGATGGCCGAGGCGGGTGGATCAAGAGGTCAAGAGATCGAGACCATCCTGGCCAACATGGTGAAACTCTGTCTTTACTAAAAATACAAAAGTTAGCTGGGCGTGGTGGCGTGCACATGTAGTCCCAGTTACTTGGAAGGCTGAAGCAGGAGAATCACTTGAACCCAGGAGGCAGAGGTTGCAGTGAGCTGAGATTGCACCACCGCACTCCAGTCTGGGTGACACAGCAAGACTCTGCCTCAAAAAAAAAAAAAAAAAGAATTAGGAGTGTTGGCTGGGTGCAGTGGTGTCTCACACTTGTAATCCTAGCACTCTGGGATGCTGAGGCAGGTGGATCACTTGAGCCCAGGAGTTTGAGACCAGCATGTGCAGCCTAATGAGACCTCGCCTCTGCAAATAATAAAAAAATTAGTTGGATGTGGTGATGCGTGCCTGTGGTTCCAGGTTCTCTGTAGGGTGAGGTGGGAAGATCACTTGAGCTTGGGAGGTCGAGGCTGCAGTGAGCCAAGATTGCACTCCAGTCTGGGTGACAAAGTGAGACACTGTCTCAAAAAAAAAAAAAAAAAAAGTGTGATGATAAATACAGCAACATTTTTAGGGTGGGGTGGAATGTACACAAAACAACTAGCCTGTGTTCATACTTAAAAAAAGTAACAAAGAACAAGAACTTCATACTTGAAAAAATAAAAAAAGGACAAGAATCTGAATGCTGTATCTGGCATTTAGTGTATCATCATCACTTCGGAATTGCATGCTGTGCAGAGCTTTCCTGTTGCGCCGAATGTGACGGGATCTTCCGACTTGTTATTGTTGGTGACGTTAGATTCATGAAAACTGAGTAGCACCCATGATACTTTTATGTTACAAATATTAATTTCAGGTTTGACTTTGGTGGTGGCAGTAGACTTCTCATATTAGAGATTACGATAAAATGTAAATAGTTCCAAGCTCTTCCTCCTCTCCCATCTGTGCCAGGTGACTAAAACATTCCCATAAATAACTGGTACCCTTTTAATGGGACCTTTGGGTTCATGAGAGGTAAATATTGATGACCTTGACATTTTTTCATATGTGCACAGTTCAGGAGACACAATATCTCCGGATAACTAAAAGCAGGTAAACAAGGAGGCAGACAGCCATGGGCTCCCACTGATCCTCGTAATTCACAGGGGTCCTGGCCTTGCTTCTGGACTTTGTGCTGGAAGTATATCCCATAGGCAAAGGAATCTATTAAGTTTAGGTCTAGGTCCTCTAGGTATTTCTGTAGGCAAATCCCACTGGACTGGATCTGTGTTGGTCTGGCATTTTAAGAAGATGTTTTTTAAGGCAAATATATGAGTCTCCTCCCCTACCCCTGTGAAATTAAGGACTCTCGTACTACTACCAGGGTAATGTTGTATAGTAGCTAAGTGCTTGGGAGTCGAATTCCCAGGTTTAAATCCCAGTTCTGTTGCCACTAGTGATGTGACCTTAACTAAATTATTTAACCTCTTTCTGCTTTAATTTCCTCAGCTAGAAGATGAGGATAATAATAATACTTATTTTTTTTTTAAAGAACTAAATGAGAGCTATCCAATTGTGATTAGCATGTTAGTAAAGATTTCTGAAATATTATTCATTAACCAGCTTTCAGGTATCCTGTGCTCATAGAGACTAAGCTACAAAGCTGATGAGATCTACAGCTTAAGAAAATTTTCTGTTTGGAGTATACACTCAGTTATATGAAAATCGCGTATGGAAAAAGATGAGAATGTAGCACTGACTTTGCAAAACGTTTTAGCAAGTTTTATTTCACTACTTGTCTTAAAAGTAATTTTTCTGGTTTTATGTAATGTGTGTAGTAGAAATGGGAATATTAGAATACTTACTTCATTGTATTGTCAAGCATTATTGGTAGCCCTAATTTATATATCCATTGTGCTGCAGTTTTAGTTGCAGAACTACCATCTGCAGGGATTATTATAGCACTTGAGGGGATGGAATTACTGCACACTGTTCTGGGTACTTTTTTCACTAAGAAGTATGGGCACCATGAGATGGTACTTACCCATCTGTCTGTTGAAGCATTTGTATGTGTATTACCTGAGCACTTAGGCACACCACCGAGGGGGGATTTAAAATGGAAGGGAAAAAGGAAAAATTGAAAATAAAATAACACGATGGAAATAACAGATGCCTCTTTGCAAAGAATACCTAAACTACTCTTAAAAGCAGACTTAATAGCCAGTACAAAACCATTCACTATTGTCTTTAAGAGACAAAGCTCAATCCACAAAGTTGAAAGTGAAGTGTGAATCTCGAAATTTTCCAGAAGAGTCAAGCAATACAGACTTCTAGGTCTCAAAATCAAGGGAGAAAAAGAGTCAGTTTTACAAAGTAACTTCTTTGATTGATTGTGAGCTGTCAGTGTTTGACGGGTAGATCCTGAAACATTGAGTGATTACATTCTTCAATGCTGGGCGGCCATATTGGTGGCCTCTGCTGTTCTGAGCTTCTAAATTTGTGTATTGACACATGGGAATTCACTAAATGAGCAGCAGAGAGCAGAATGGAACATTTTGGCGTCAGCTTGAAATTTCCCAAAGAGAACCAGTGGAAAGATGTTGAAATCAATTGAAATATTATTTATTGATTGCTTATGTTTTATAGCACCTAATAAATTGTCCAATCCCTTAAAAACACTCCATCTGCCTAATTCTCCATTTCCAGTTACAGCAGATACAAGGATACAAAGATGCTCTGTACTGACAGAGAGGGATGATTTCAGGTTTTCTTCACACCACTGGGCTCCCTGACAGCTATTCTTTGTGCTTGCACACATTCAAACAATTTTCAATTTCAGTTGGGGACGAGAGAAGTGTTTTTCTCCCATATTCAGTTGTCTTGGTATTTTTTACCCAGGCAGCTCCCCCTACCCTCCAACACATGTGCTTCCTTAGAACTTCTTCATCCATATGCTAAGAGTGGGGTGTGGATTCTCAGCATTCTGTGCTTCACCGCACACCTGGAAACCTATGGGCTAATGACCCTTGTGAGAATTTGGGTGGTAAGGAGGCTGCAGAGATCAACTTCCGGTTATAGATGTAGAAACTGAGGCCTGGAGAGGTAAAGAAAGTCAACTGAGATCATTCAGCCAACAAATATCAGGATGGCACCTCTAACGTCAGTGTAATTTCAGCTTTTCCACTAAGGCCTACTGGGAGGAGTGCAGTGGTATGTTCCGGGCTGAGTCTTGGTTAAGGGATTGCAGTGGACTGACTGAGGAGTGAAAGCAAAAGAATATAATGGCCGGGTGGGTGGCGCCTGTAATCCCAGCACTTTGGGGAGGCTGAGGTGGGCGGATCACCTGAGGTCAAGAGTTTGAGACCAGCCTGGCTAACATGGCAAAACCCCATCTCTACTAAAAATAAAAAAATTAGCTGGGTGTGATGGCACATGCCTGTAAACCCAGCTACTTGGGAGGCTGAGGCAGGAGAATCGCTTGAACTTGGGAGGCAGAGATTGTGGTGAGCCGAGATCGAGCCATTGCACTCCAGCCTGGGCGACAGAGTGAGACTCTGTCTGAATTAAAAAAAAAAAAAGAACACCGAATCAGGGTTTGGGTCAGAGTTTGTCTAAGGTTGTATTAGAGGCATATCTTTTGGTCAGGAAGCATGAATATTCTCTCTCTGATATAAGCGAAAAGGAAGAGATTAAAGGCATGACGAAAATCAGGTCTTCTTTAATAGGTGTTTACTTTTTATGGAAACCATGGAACAATGAATATTTATTCATCATCAGGTAATTTGGGGTAATGGAGTATAGACAATTTCTGGTTTTACCTTCTTGCCTCTTTGGGTCCGTGCTGCCTTTTGTTTTGCTTAAAATGGACTAAAAGAGAAAGCAACTGAAACACTTTCCAGATCTGATAACTTCCGAGATCTCAAGTGAAACCTCTGGCTCGGGTCCTAGGGTGAGGTCACACAGTCTAATATTAGTCGGATTTATGTTGGTGTGTCAACCAAAATGCAGAGCAGCCCACTGCCATAATTCTTGACAGCCATTTATCAGGTAGGTAGGAATGGCACTTGGGTCAGTTGTATGCTGTGTATTGCCACCCAGAAGCATAGCCCATCCATGGCCATAGGCATGTCTTCTCTTTTTAGTTGATTTTTTTTTTTTTGAGACGGAGTCTCGCTCTGTCGCCCAGGCTGGAGTGCAGTGGC